CACAACATCAAAAGCAAAGCAGAAATCCAGTCCCACTGGATTGCCATCTTGTCTGCTGTGGCCCTTGGTAATTGAAAAAAAAAAACAGTTTAAATCCACTATCTTCTTGAGATTAGGGTATGCATTTTGACTATTATTCATACAGTGGGATAGCTACTTCAGTCAGAATGACTTGGGGAAGGACAACAACTATAGGTAGTCCTCAATTTACAACCACAATTGAGCCCAAAATTTATGTTATTAAGTGAGAAATTTGTTGTGAGTTTGCTCCATTTTCGACTTTTCTCTCCACATTTGTTAAGTGAATCACTGCAGTTCTTAATTTGATTTAATTTAATTTATCGCATTTCTATGCCGCCCAACTCCCAAGGGACTCTGGGCGGCTAGTAACATGGTAACATGGTAGCAATTAGTAACATGGCTGTTAAGTGAATCTGGCTTGCCCATTGACTTTGCTTGTCAGAAGTTCGCAAAAGGGGATCACATGACACTGCAACAGTCATAAATGTAAGTCAGTTGTCAAGCATCTGAATGTAAATCATGTGACCACACTTATGATCCTGCAGCTGTCATAAGTGTGAAAAATGGTCATAACTCACTTTTTTCAGTGCCATTGTAACTTTGAACAGTCACTAAATGAGCTGTTGTAAGTTGAGGACTACCTGTATTATTTTTGAAATGTATTTCACTTTTACTTCTGCAAGAAGCTTAAGTAGCAATTCTATGTAAGTTTGCCTTCAAGAAAATCCTATTAAAGGCAGTGGGGTTGTAGTAGGCATAATAATAGCTATTGTATGCCTTCTACTAAGGCATGATATAAATTTAAAAATACTGTCCATACTTTGAATTTAGGCAGGAAGTGGCTTAAACATGGATTCAATTATTTACTCTGCATTTAAGCTGGTCAAAAAATGTTCTATGACCTTAGACCAGGGGTGTCAAACTGGTGTCGTCACGTTGTTGTCACATGACGTATCACAACTTTTTTCCCCTTTGTTAAAATGGGGGTGGGGGGTGGCCAGCGCGTGATGCATCCAGCCCGCAGGCCGCGAGTTTGACACTTAGATATTTGTTTGTGAATTTTGGTAAATCTTTTGAGCGAGCTTGATACATTGTGACTTCATGGATATCTCTCCAGAGTTTTCTTGGCAACCATGTAAAAGTGGTTAATCATTGCCTACTACTAAGATTTCTTGATTTTTCACTCTGGATATTCCTAGTGGTCTCCTATTCAAACATTTTGTTTTCCAAAAGCATATCTTCTGGTTTTTTCCTTTTTTGCATCAAGCTGATCATGGCTTTATGCTACCTGTCTATATATATGGGAAAAGGGGATGTGGCATTTTTTGTCTTTTCCTCTCATACTATTTCTCTGTTGAACAATTCTGTATTGATTTTTAGCTTCACTACAGAAAATATATGTTCCTGTATATCTTTTTCCCAGCGAAGATAATCCAAAGGGAGCAATGAAAGTTGAGAAATCTTTCTTCTTTCACAATTACAGCCGGAGGAAATTGCTTTGTATAAAGCAAAAATAATCTTTAAAAAAAACTTTAAATGCCAAAGAGAATCAAAATTGTAATTATCTTTCTGATATGTGTAAAATACATACTGACATAGTTGGCATCTTCCTTGCATTTCTAGTTTTTCTTTATGTAGGAAAATGTTTGTGTGAATGGACATTCTCCTCCTTCTGATACCTGTAGGGGAAATGCTTTCTGGATTTAGCTTATTCTGTTTTTTATTATTGCTTTTGATTTTTGACTTCGAAATAAAATAAAATTTCAGTTGTGTTGTCTCTCACATTCATTTCATAAACAACTTAAATTGTTTTCATCCCGTTCTATTTTTGTAAGTTCTTATATTTTAAAAAATCTAAATTAAATCCTTATGCATTAGCACTGGCCAATTTCAATGAGTCAGTAATTTTTATCATGAGATACTATATCTTTTTACCATACCATACAGTTGATAAAGAGGCAGAACTCTTAAAAAATAGAGTTGGTTCATAATCACAAACATGACCAAGTCATTGTGCTGGGATTCACATCTAAAAACTGAACATTCAGCTGGGATGAAGAAACTGCCAACTCTTGTTTTCTTTCACATTTGAATATGTTAATTCTCAATTTACTCCTATTCCATACACTCAATTTACCCCTATTGCATACACTGATTCTTTGAAGGGAATGATAAGGCTTTTTATTAAACAAATTAAGGCACTGCTGCTTATTTTTTAATTTTGATGAAGTTGATCATGAGGTGCTACTGTTACAGGTATGGCAAAAAAATGCAGGAAATTTTCCAGAGAATAGGGATGGGATAGGAGAGGAGAGGAGAGGAGAGGAGAGGAGAGAATAGAATAGAATAGAATAGAATAGAATAGAATAGAATAGAATAGAATAGAATAGAATTTTTTATTGGCCAAGTGTGATTGGACACACAAGGAATTTGTCTTTGGTGCATATGCTCTCAGTGTACATAAAAGAAAAGATACATTTGTCAAGAATCATAAGGTACAACACTTAATGATAGTCATAGAGTACAAATAAGCAATCAAATCATAGGTATATTGAAAACACTCCTTAGGACCTTCCTAGCATACCTCGTCCTGAGATGGGAGGCAAACAAATTTTATAAATAAGTACAAATAATTTCCAACACATCCTTATAGCCCACATCCTGAGTTCAATACACAAACATGGAGGCACCAAGTAAAACAGAGAAGAGCCTTTGACAATCCAGTAGGTGAGGCAAAAGATTTTCCTTTGTGTAAGGTTCTGTATGTGTCTTGCTCTTCAGAAGGAACAACACATTATTATGTGTCAGCAAACTAAAGTTAAATTCAAGTCTAAGATGGGTTAAAACTTAATGATTCAAGTCCTAACTAAGGACCTAAGAATTATTAAGGTAGTGTCTAAGAATATAGGCAGCTCAGAAGGGTGAGTTTTTATAAAATTAAGCTGTTCGGGTCTGATAAATTCAATATTTCCACATATTGAGGAAGTCCTTTAGATATTGCTCCCAGAGCTTCAAACACAAGTGGTATAGTAAAAGATTTGTTTTTACAAACATTCAACTTTGATCTGCAAGTTCCAATATTTTGTAATTTTTTCCAATCCTGTTTCCTCAATTCTAGCATCACACAGAATAGCAACATCAGTGAATATACTATTTATTTTCAATAACTGTTACATCAGGCATATTATAAATAAGATGCTTGCCTGTTTGGATCTTAAAAATCTTAACAAAAACCTTCCCAAATTTTTGATATAATAATGTCATTCATATTTTTATATAGTATAATAACTAATGGGGGTATTTTATTTCTCATCTTTATTATTTTTAGAAATAATTTATGATGATGAATATATCTAATTCTTCTTCCTCCTCCTATTTCCCCCACAACAGCAACCTTATGAAGTGGGTTGAGCTTGAGAGAGTGAGTGTCCCAGCCAGTTTTTCCAAGTCCCAACTAGCACTCAGTCTTCTGATTTCTAGCCTATTGCTTTAAACACTAGGCCAAACGGGGGTCTCCTTTTCTTTATTATAGGTAGCTAAATTAATGTACCTTGTTAGGGTTGTTTTTTAAAGTTGTTTTTTTCAAGGGAATATAAATTTGCTGGGTGATATGTGGTCAGTCACACTCCTGCTCCAGAGGGTTGTTGTAGAAAAAATGGGAGGAAGGAGGAATATGTACCCTCTTGAGTTCCTGAAAGAAATGTAGAATATGAATCTAATAAATGAATAAATACATAGTTGAAATGAATAAAGATAAACCACTCTGGTTGTTATAGACTGCATTAATAATGCTGATGAATGGAGTTGGATGATTCTAGTGCTGTTTGTTAAAATTATTTACAAAAGTTATGCACCTCAACATCTAAAGATGATTATGCTGTGAGCCTGTTTTTAATAAATAGAAGTAACCAGAGGTGGGTTTCAGCAGGTTCTGACCAGTTCTGGAGAACCGGTAGCAGAAATATTGAGTACTTTGGCGAACCAGTAGTAAAAATTCTGACTGGCTCCGCCCCCATCTATTCTCTGCCTCCCGAGTCCCAGCTGAGCAGGAGGAAATGGGGATTTTGCAGTAACCTTCCTCTGGATTGGGGAGGGAATGGAGATTTTATAGTAATCTTCCCCTGCCATGCCCACCAAGCCACACCCACAGAACCGGTGGTAAAAAAAATTTGAAACCCACCACTGCAAGTAACTATCTCAAAGTATTTGCATTGAAACCTGAATACTGCTAAGGATAATACTTATCTAGAGCCTTCCTTATAAAGACTATGAGCCTTGGTTAGGGGATTGGCAATTGCAGGGAGGGGCAGCAGTTAACCCTGGTTTTCCTGTAACACCCACCCATCCTGGACTTTCATAGAGCAGCTAGGTGCAACAAAATTCCTCCCATCAGTTTAAATGTGAGGTTTTTTTAAAATTGTTTTTAAAAACTCTTATGGGAAAGGAGCAGGAAGGTGAAGTGGTGGACAAGGCCTGTCAGACACAGCCATCCTGTGGGACCCTAGTTTCCCATAGTTACTTAAATAAATTTCAAGTATGATTCTCCTTGTCAATTATCTCCTCTGCATTAACAGAACCCATTATTATCAGATTGACTACCTTTTTGTTTTTCATGGCCAATACAATTCCAGAAAGCCAATTGTAACTTTGTTTTATTTATTGTAAGTACAAACAGATTTCTATTATGTGAGCTCTGCTGCAGACTGGTCATTTCCTGTTTTGCTTCCTCGATATTTTTTTTTTTTTGGATGCCTCCAGTTTGGTTCTTGAGAATTGATTTCATAAGCATTTGTATATATTATATTCCATTATCCTGAAATAATTCCTTAATTCTTCTGGCCTGCATCCCGTTTCCCATGTTCGTGCTATTCAATCAATATCTGAACTGCAGTAGCATCAAATGATATTGTGTACACATGACATGTAGCGTTGGAAAGTGTTGTCTTATTTCCTTTCTCCTCCTTTTCCCCTCTCTGTAGCAATCAACGAAAACACTTTGGAGGAGGAGAGCCTGTGCAGAGAAGGGGGTCTGTCTAGACTTCCAAACAATTTCCCTTTCCTGACCAAGGCAGATCATATTTCCTTCCTAAGGAACATGGCTGTGAAGTCACCGTTTTGTTTTTGACCCTGGTTTTCCTGCAAATGTTTGAGTCAAACTCTGATTGTAAAGAAGATTCAAGGCACATAAACATTTCAAAGGTAAGTGAATGTACCTATTAAAAGATTTCATCCTCTTTTCTTGGCATGTGTTAAGTTAAGTTTAAGTTTAACTTTATTGTCATTGTACGTATATACACAGTATACCCATACAACGAAATTCATTTAATACCCAAAGACCAGGCCCAACACACATAACAATCCTCAAACACACCCCCACCCACCACAAATTCCCCGCCCCTGAACCACCCAAACATCCACACAACAGACCAAGTAATCTGTTATTAGAAATAATGTATGAGAAAGAGGTTCCTTGGATTTAATATTGGGGAAGAGAAATATTTTGAACTAATGTCTGCCTGAATTTAATAGCAAATTTAAGATGTATGGCCCAATTCAAACCTTGTTCATTTTTAAAAATGTTGTAACTTGTGGCTGTTCTATATAAGAGCTCTGTTCCAGTCTGAAATCATCTCCAGACATCTGTGTCATTGTTCCATGTCATTGGCTGTATATAGAATTGAGCCCATTTATTTCTATTTCAGCTATAGTATGTTTGAAACTGCATTGAAACTACTATTTTCTTTGAATTGCTAGGATTTATGGGAAGTGTAGAATAGAATAGAATTTTAATTGGCCAAGTGTGATTGGACACACAAGGAATTTGTCTTGGTGCATATGCTTTCAGTGTACATAAAATAAAAGATACGTTCATCAAGAATCATAAGGTTTCTATTCTATTCTTATGGGAAGTGTATTGCCCCATTTGTGGGAATATTTGCCTCACAATGTCTCCAATGCTAAGCTAGAAGTTCTTTCAATAGGAAAAGTAGCCTCAATGGTTTTGCAGTTCACTTTAATAGGAAATGCTTGGAAATGTATTGATTCATATGACCTGGCAAAATAAATGATGTGTTTAAGCGCTTGCTTTTGTTTTCCTTTTGTGTGGTGTGGGAAGGAAGAGATTTTTGTTACTTCAGTAACTGTTGGATCTTGAGGCAGGGCAATGACTGAATTAGGTTCTTACTCCTTTTTCATTGCATTTAGATAAGCATAGAAGGGAAAACAAGAGTGAATTGGTTTTTGTGAGATTTGGGAATGAAAACAATACCAGGATGAAGTGTGTTTTGGATCTTAAGTAAGTTAAGATTAACATTTGCCTGTACTTCTCAATAAATCAATAGTATAAATATATCTCTACAATGGCATAGCTCAGGGGTCCCCATCTCCTGGGCTGTGGCCCATTACCAGACCGCGGCCTGTTCGGAACAGGGCTGTGCGAACAACGGGTGAGTGTTTGTGTATACAAGCGGCTGCTGCTCATGCACAAAGCTTTTCTTGTGCAAGCGGTGGCTGCTTGCATTTGCGTGCAAAACTGCCTTCGCACAAGTGGCGGGTGCACGGACCTGCTGCTCACACAAATGGAACTGTGTATGCTTGAAAACGCCTGTTTGCCAGTCACAGGGAACTATCCTCCTCTTCAGTGGTGGGATTCAAGTAATTTAACAACCGGTTCACTGCCCTAATGATTTCTTCCAACAACCAGTTTGCCAAACTGCTAAGAAAGTTAACCACCGGTTCTCCCGAAGTGGTGCGAACTGGCTAAATCCCACCACTGCCCCTCTCCCCCCCCCGCCCGCCCCCCCAGCTGCCAAGCTAGAAAGGTTGGGGACTTCTGCAAAAATATAACCATGGAAAATAATGAATTTGATGAACAGGACATTTTATCAATCATTCTGCAGCATGATACCACAACTTTTGCTGAAATGTACACAATATTTTTGATTCTTAATTTTGGTATGATTAAATTGATATTTGCCTTACAGAGTGAGTCCCAATATTGTTCGAATCTAGATGACTGTTGATTGGTCTTCCCTCCACCCAAAAAAAGTGCAACTTGTGAGTCTGCTGAAAAAAGGAGCCTCAACCAAGCAGATATGAAGCAGCAAAATGGTGGATTCAGCTAATTTATAAGAATTAGCTGGATCCCATGTGATTCTTTGTGGAAGCTCACCTCTATCAAAATAAGCTTTTCATCTTAATTGTTTGCAGTAGGCTCAGGCCTAGAAAAAATGGTAGGATAGAAAGAGCTTAGGATCCGTGTGCTTCCCCCAAACAATACTGTATTCAAATGAACCTAAGCAGAACAATGAAGTGAAAAGATGGTAAGGGAGCACCTGGCTACCTTGGACAAGTCTCTTGGATCAGGTCAGTTACCTCTGAGAGTCCTGAAGGAGTTTGCAGATGTAATCTCAGAGTCTTTCCGTGACCTTTGATAAATTTATTTATTTATTATTTATTTTATTAAATTTTTATACCGCCCGTCTCCTGCTGGATTCAGGGCAGTGAACAGCCAAGAATATAAAACATCCAATACAAAATTTAAAATTATTAAAAGAATTAAACAATTTTTGGCCCAGATTTAAAACATCCCAACTAAAATCCGTTACAATTAAAATATCTAAGGTGGGGGGGGGGGTTATGCCAGCCCAGCTTGGTGAAATAGAAAAGTTTTGAGGGCACGGCAAAAAGCACGGAGATCTGGTATCCTACGTATCTCCGGGCAGGTCGTTCCAGAGGGCAGGTGCTGCCACAGAGAAGGCCCTCCCCCTGGGGGTCGCCAGCTGACATTGCCTGGCTGACGGCACCCTGAGGAGTCCCTCTCTGTGGGAGCGTACTGGCCGGTGGGAGGCTATCGGTGGCAGAAGGCGGTCCCGTAAGTACCCAGGCCCTGTGTCATGGAGCGCTTTAAAGGTGATAACCAACACCTTGAAGCGCACCCGGAAGACCACCAGGAGCCTATGCAGCTCGCGCAGGAGGGGTGTCACATGGGAGCGGCCCATCGCTCCCATAATCCCCCGTGCGGCCGCATTCTGCACCAGTTGGAGCCTCCAGGTGCTCCTCAAGGGGAGCCCTATGTAGAGAGCATTGCAGTAATCCAGGCAGGTAGTGATGAGAGCCTGAGTGACTGTGCGTAAGGAGTCCCGATCCAGAAAAGGACGCAACTGGTGAATCAGGCGAACCTGATGAAAAGCCCCCCTGGCCACGTCCGTCATATGCTGTTCTAAAGACAGCCGTGCATCCAGGAGGACGCCCAAGTTGCAAGCCCTCTCTGAGGGGGCCAATAACTCGCCCCCAATAGCCAGCGATGGCACCATCTGGCTATATCGGGACACCGGAAGCCACAGCCACTCGGTCTTGGAAGGGTTGAGTCGAAGCCTGTTTCTCCCCATTCAGACCAGCACGGCCTCCAGGCACCGGGACATCACTTCAAGGGCATCGTTGGGATGGCCTGGGGTGGAGATGTACAGCTGAGTATCATCAGTATATTGATGGAACTCCACCCCAAAACCACGGATGAGCTCACTCGGATGAGCTTCACATAAATGTTGAACAGAAGGGGTGAGAGGACCGACCCCTGTGGCACCCCACAAACAAGGCACCTCGGGGTCGACCTCTGCCCCCCTGCCAACACCGACTGCGACCGGTCAGAGAGATAGGAGGAGAACCACTGTAGGACGGTGCCCCCCACCCCCAACCCCTCTGACCGGTGCAGCATGATACCATGGTCGATGGTATCAAAAGCCGCTGAGAGATCTAACAGGACTAGGATAGAGGAACAACCCCTATCCCGAGCCCTCCAGAGATCATTCACCAATGCGACCAATGCCGTTTCCGTGCTGTGCCCAGGCCTGAAGCCGGACTGGAGCGGATCTAGATAGACAGCTTCATCCAGGTACCGAGGAAGCTGTTGCGCACACTCTCAACAACCTTCGCCACAAATCAGGGAGCATAGACATAGTACCACAGGGTTGAAAAGAATAAATGTTGCTCCTTTCTTCAAAAAAGGGAGAATGTGAACCTGGTAACTACAAATCATTCAGCTTGATGTTGATACAAGGCAAATCACTGGAACAGGTTTTTAAACATTTGGTACGTGAGCATTTAAAGAAAATGCATTTTTTGCAGAAACCAGCATAGATTTATCAAATATATGTCCTGCAAAACCAACTTGATCTCCTTTCTTGATAGAGTGCTCAGTTTAGTTGACTATGAAAATACATTTGCATTCAGCAAAGTCTCCCATGAGATTCCAGAAGAGAAGATAACAGAATGTGAATTGAACCACACTGCCATTTCTATCCAAGGAATGAATGCTAATCGCTTGGTGTCAAATGTGTGTCAAGTGTTAAGTGGCACCCAAAGAGTTGCATTTTGGGCCCTCTCTTGTCTAATACATTTTTAAATCGCTTAGATAAAGGGTTAGAAAATATGATTATCAAATACACAAATAATGTGGAGACAATGGGGATAGAAAATATATGAGAGAACTGTGTCAAAATTCAGGATAAATTAGCTCATGAAAGCCTTGGTAGCACAGTGGTTAGAATGCAGTATTGCGGTCTGACTCTGCCAACTGCCATGACTTTGATCCTGACCAGCTCAAGGTTAACTTAGCCTTCCATCCTTCCAAGGTTGGTAAAATGAGGACCAAGATTGTTGGGGGCAAGATGCTGACTCTGTAAACTGCTTAGAGAGGGCTATAAAGCACTATCAGGCAGTATATAAGTCTAAGCCCTATTGCTATTGCTATTTTAGTAAAAGGTGCTAGTAGATGAACCCCTGATTTTTTTAAATGAGTTAGGAAGTTTGGGCCATGGTATGTTTGGCCTGACAGAAGATATAGTTCTAGAGAGATATGATAACTGTCATGTGAAAAATGGGACAGAGTTACTAAGAATTGTTCCATTAAACAAGTCAAAAATTTTGCATTTAGATTACAAAGAAGGACATTTTAGCGGGTCATCAGGAAAAATGTCTAATGTTACTTGTTGTTCAGCAATAGAATACACTGTTTCAGGACCAGTAGATTGTCTCTATGGAAGTATTTAAAGAGATGTTCATGACCATCTTTTAGGGTTACTATGGGCCTGGATTTCAAGAGCACGATTCCAAAGTTCCTTCCCATCCTGATACTGGTTCTATGAAACAGTAATCCTTTTTATTTAGAGTATGTCTAATAATGTTTGCCAACTTCTGTT